AACCGGATACGTTGTCAGAACGATAGACGTGCAAGGAAAAATTCACACTTTGGCGGAAAAGCAGAGAGACCGGGACCAAGCAAAACTCGCACTGGCAGTCGACAGTTTTGGTTATTCTACCAGCACAAGTTCTAATTGGCTTCTGTTATTCTGCTTTTTTACTAAGATGTGAATTCTCCCTAATGGTATATCGCAAAAAAGCTCCCCTCGCAAAAGCACTCGCGAAATCAGAGAGAGAGAGAGAGAGAGAGAGAGAGAGAGTAACGTAAAAGCATCCGGCATGTCCAATCCTGGATATTCCTAACGTCGTTTTGGTCTTTACATAGAAATATTCATAGGAATATTCAAATTTCTAACATAAAATATGTGTACATCACATATGGAGTGTATACATTGAGGAAAAAATATCTAAAAATATTCAGAAAAAAATATTCATTTGGTGAATTATTATATTTATTAAATCTTAATTATTTTATTTATGTAGGATAAACAATTACTTCCAAGAAAAACTAAAGCTTTTTTTAAAGTTTCAAAAAAATATATATTTTTCTGAAATATATATTTATCTGAAATATATTTTATGTTGCTATAAGTAAATATATGTTGCGCGCGCGCGCTGGTATTTACCGGAAAAATGTTTATTATTTATTATTTGTTAGATACTTTTTCTCTCACAGTGTACTTATTCTATGTTGAACGTTTAAATATTTGTATTTAAAGATTAAAACAAGAATGTTCAGAATTAGATAACATATAGATACAGGATTAGGCCCAAAAATTAGCGCTTTTATCTTAAGTAGCGAAATGAAGTCTTAGGGAACTCAAATCTGCGAAATTAAAATTTGAATAAACTGTACCCGAAGAGGATGATTTCAAGAGCTGAAATGCTTTGTCATTTTCCGCGTATAGATACCGCTTGTGAGGGAGAAAGTACAATAAAAAATGCAATCTTTATTACGGGATAAGTAAAGATAAGAATATTGAATAGGCTCATAACTCAATTATCTCACATTTCCTATTTGCATAGGCATTATCTTTTTTGTGTAGCTAAAATTCTTTTGGAACCCATACTCGTTCCGCATTGAATTTTCCTTCGATTTCTTCTCTTTCAGTGTGCGATGATCGTGTTAATATGTACACGCTATGCGTGAATTTGTGATTGTCACACTGCTCTGTGCAGTGACAATCACAAATGAAAAAAACTACTATCAGTGAGTAGTGTTTCGGCGGGACTGAATCAACGTGAGTACGTCACAATTCGTGCGTATGTCATAAACGCGCTTATCTCTTATTTGTCCTGGATTATATAGCGATCTCGACGTCTGCTTCTCACGAAAATGGGGAAGAACGAAGCGATAGGCGATCGTGAATTTTCCGCAAAAACGCGCTCGGCTCGGATTCGCATTGCGCGCAGGAAAAAAAGAAAGACAGATTGTCGTTTTATCGAATCGAGATGCGATCGAGAGATTGATATGCGTGTAACATATTCCGGAGTGGATCAGGAGCGCGACTCGGAAGATCCGCTTCGGATCTTCATGCGCGAAGCGAGCTTCACGGATAAACGTGATCCGCTCCAGCTCCGAAGCGCTCGTACATCTCGGCTGAATTTCGCTAATTAGCAAAGTAAATGACAAATCCTTACCGTCTCGGGATCTCGGAGATCGCGTTCCGCATTCCAGTCGGACGACAGTTCGGGGTAATCCCGTTGGTAAGCGGCGAACGGCGCGCGGGTTCTTCTGGAGCGAGTTTCTCGCTGCACACTTGAAAACACCGCACAAAATGAGGGGAGGGGTGAGAAAACGAGCGAGGGAGAAAAAGAGAGACAGAGAGAGGGAGGCAAAAGGGACTAGAGAGAAAGAACGAAACGAAAAAAAATGAAAACGAAAGAAATCTGAAGACGCCCACGCGATCGCGCGGCGCGACCGAGAGCGACTCGCCGACTGCGACTGACTGACTGACTGACCGACTCCTCCACCAGCTCTGCTCCGGTCGGCGTGCACAGTCACCGCACTTGCATCAACACATACACATACACACGACCCGGCACCTACCACTCCTCGTCCCGTTGCAGGCCTTTCGTTTCCAGTTCCATTCCAGACCCGACCCGACGCGGCCCCGTGCCTTTTGTGCATCTCGTCCGCATTGGCGGTCCGATGCCTGCCGTTGAAGCGGTTCGTTGTTATTTTTCACCAACTTCAGTTCAGGGCCTCTTTACGAAGTAGTTGTTATCTTCGTCAAGCAAGTCGTCAAACTGTCTCGAAACTCGACGGAAATTCGACAGGCTCTCGGAACGGGTCGCGTCAACTTCGTTAACTCATTGTTTCTTTCGTTAGACATATGTTCGAGGCAGCCTTGAATGCTGAAACGTAACAATTGCTGAGACTCGGTCGATCTAACCGGATTAGATTTTTGCAATACAATTAGTCGCGAATTGTTATGATATAATCATACTTTAATATTATTACACACAGAAAAATATCATTCTGCAGCTAAGAAGAGCGTTTATTCAGTTTACTTTCCTACTTTTGAGTAATAATTATATTCGACAAAAAGTATTTTCTTAATAACAATATTGAAATAAATTCATCACAAAATTTAAGAAAAGCTTATTATCATGTACTCCAAAGAATTTGTTCTATCAACAAGAATATTATAAAATTTTATTGAAGCGGAAGAAGTGTATGTTAGTTCAGCTTCAGTAATAAGCAAATCGAATTTTTGTTCTTATTTAATATGTTTGATTGAAATGCTAAACTTGCTGAATACATTTTTGAACAAATTTGATGAAAGCTCATGATAGGTTTGAAGACATAAATTTATGGAATATTTAAAAATAATTCGAGCGAATGAGAGCGAGAAAACTTAGAGGTCGAGTGTGAGCGAATGAGAGCGCGTGCGAGCGAGTGAGATAGCGCGAGTGAGCAAGTTAGCGCGAGAGCGAGTGAACAAATGAAAGAGAGAGAGAGAGAGAGAGAAAACTTGTGAACAAACGAGAGAGCGCAGGATGACAGAAGATATTAATTTTCTTATCAGCCTTTATCTATTCGGTCTTGTGATTATTAATGTTACATGTTATAATTAATATAGCACAAATGGCACGCACTTGTATCATTAAAACAGATACATTACATTTTTATTAACACAATCTCGTTTTTTATTATCTTTTATTAATTTTTACTAATATTTTCTGTGCGTGCGTTCCTCACGCATACCGCATAAAAAATGGGTAAAACCACTACGACCTCGCGCGACAAGTTAATTACCAATTAACGGTGAATTTTTGATTAGATATCAAATTTACATATTGCTATAATCGTTTATTGCGGCCGATAATTCACGACGATGATGCCATTTAACTTGGAACATTCAAAGGCTGGTATTTTGTACACACCGTACGGCTTCGTACAAGCCGTAACTTGAAGCCTCAATAACAACCTTTGGCGTATAATCTTTTCTGGCGCATCGAGTTGCACTGAGGCATCTTGAATGCGGATAATACGCGACACTGAAACCCACGGTGTAAGAATTTGCCCGGGGGAGCGTGAGTGTGGTAAATAAACGATAAGACACCCAGCATAAGCCGCCGTAAAGTCGCCATAAAACTTCACACTATGATTATCCGTTTACATTAATCCTAAGCGCGTACGTTGCATGCGCGTGTTTGATTCTTTTTTAATTTCGTAAACGCACCTAAATTTGATCAAACCGTATGAAATAAAGCCGAGACATTCCGGCGGGAGAAAATTCCAAGCGTCGAATCGTCCAAGTTCTGCTTACCTATCGTTACCGATCACGGATAAGTGCAACTACCTACGTGATCAATCGAATATCCTGTTCCTCATTTTCGGTCATTAAGTTAAATTAGAGCATGCTCCACATATTTACGGTACAAGGTTGTGGTAACAAGGTGCATTTCATCAATTCGCGGCCCAAAGAGGTAGACAACCCGATGTACCTCTTTGTAAGGAAGAAGTATGTCGAGGTTGCCTGAATAACGAGGAACTGAAGAACAAGTATGCAAATTTTTAAAAGTGGACCAAGTTATATACACATTTATTTCACGTATTTTATATATAAAGCAAAACATAGGTTTATTACTTTACTTTAAAAAGATATTGCATCCTGTGCGTTTAGCTTAATATTTATTCAGATCACAGTCGATTTATTTATATCTTCAGCACTTTTTATAGAAAGAAAGGAAATAGGAGAGATACTTTTTACATTTAAAATACATGGAGAAAAAAGATTGGACGAATTAAGAATCGAATTTGGCTCATAAAACGAGAAATTCTGTTTCCTTCACTGAAAACGCATTTAATTGTGTCATTTGTCTTGTTATCATCCAGCCTTTTTTCTTTCTGTATTTAAAAAGATTTTATTCTGATATTCACTCTATTAATAACACACTGATTTATACAATGTTACATCGCGAATTGCAATAAGACATGTTATAAGACATTTAAATACTGATAATTATTTACACAAAATTGCATTTTAATATACACACATATATATATATATATATATATATATATATATATATATATATATATATATATATAATGCAATTTTTGTATACATATAATAAATATTATGCGCTATATATATATTTATATATGTATTATATTATTATATATATTATTTATATAATATTATACATTATACTATTATAATATTATATATTATATTAGAAAATATATAAATATATATTATACTGATATATATTATTTCTTTTTTTTAATATACATCATAGAAGATAGAATCATACATATACTTTAAATCACATGTGGAAATAGCATTTGGTTTCTAAGACAACTTACTTTAAATTTCTTATACTTATAACAGTACTTATACTTATAACAGTACTTGATTACCAAGACAACATAAACTTGCTTTATAGAGACGTCTAAAAGACATTGTACTTATTTTAGACGTCTTTTAGATGTATTTAAGATGTAGTTAGCTATTTATGCTGTCTCTAGATATACTCTTTCTGCTTTTATATATATATATATATATATATATATACTTCTATTTAGAATCTTGTATTTTGATTACTCTTAGCTATGTTTTGTCGCTATTGTCTCACACACGTAACATTTACATTGTTCTTCTTTATTTGTCCACGTAATCGCGAGGTTGTTCTTCTTCATTTGTATTATCTGACATGTCAAGATTCTCTAGTTTATCGTACAAAGTTTTCAAATTGACGTCGCTTATACTAAGACAAGAGACTCCTTGTGTAATATTGATTTCGTTGTCCTGCTGTGGTATATTTGCGTTACAATCTTCTTCGTTTTTATCACTGATGTTTAACTTGTTCAATTTAGATATTATATCAGGTTTGATGTACAAGGAACTTTCAGGAACATTTTCGCTCACTGGAGTTCGATAATCGTGGCCATAAATCGACAAGGCCGACATTCCTTTCGTGAAATCTACGTCGATTTTTGGATCTGCCTTGATTTTTACTGCATTCCAAAAGAAGTGTAAATCGCCCAACTCTAAGTTTCTTCGTAATCTTTTTTTAAATTCGCGGTCCAATCGGAATGTTTTTTTTTTGGAAAAGCGCAGTTTTACGGTGAACATCGCGATGGAACAATTATATATAGATCATTTGGCGATTACATCGTTAGTATTTACTTGGGAACACAATTCTTCATTTCGTGCATTTTTTTATCGTTTGTCTGATGAGATGTCCTGGAAATAACAAATATTGTCAAACATTTCAGTAAACACCAAGTAGCATAACATTAATATTATAATGTCCCAATAATGTAACCGTTATATTGTTGTGTGGGACATTATAATATCAATCTTATGTTACTGATACCTGGTGTTTACTGGAATTAATTAGTATTAATTTGAACAAAGTGGAAACATAGCATTATAATTACTACAAAGCTTAAATTAAATGCTCTAAATCTAAATGTAAACAGATCAATGTAGAAAAGTTTAATTAAAAACACATAGAACAACATACACAAATACACATTTATCATATACACACCGATTAAAAAGTTCATCTTTCAAGCAACTTCATTTGATAACACACTTTCTGTTTCTCTGTTTTTCAATATCTGGCTTCAGGAGCTTGATTAAGCTTTATTTGCAACACCATTATCCATTAAGTAGTGAACATTATCCTTGTTTAATCTAATTCTTATAATTAATGACCTCGTTGTTGTATGATATATATTCTTATGGTATCGCTATTATATCCGTCAGTAGGTAAAATTTTTAAATCTTTGGAAATAATCCAAAGCATATCTCAACACAATTGTAGGTAATATCCGAACACGTTCGAACATAAATACATCCTTACGTCTTTACGGCATTTAAACTTGGCTAGTCACAACTAGATTATTTCATATTACGATATTAAAATTTTGATCTCTTTTGCGATTAATTAAAATATTTGAATGACTACTTTGTAGGCGTAGTATTTTTGTTTATATAGAAGTATTATATATGTCAAAACTGTGCTACAATGCTCCTTGTAATCTACCGCAAACACTGTAGCTAACTAAAGTAGGCAAACTGAAATGTTTCTGATGAGATTATTAAAATAAGCGTCACCTAGTAAAGAAACAGGTAAAGACGAATTTACCGCTAAATTTGAACCGCTAAAATTCAACGAACTGTAATTTTTATAAGAATAACAACAACGAGGTGCTTCAAAAAGCATTTTGCAGTTTAAAGTTTCTAGTTTCTAGATATATTTCCAGATATAATGTATATTATTTCGCCATAGTGTGCTATATGAATTTAATAAAATATTCGTCAAACAAGAAAATGTTCTATAAAGTTTATTGAAATGTTCTATATAAACTATAAGTTGCATACAAATAAGGTTTACATCATTTAAAAATGTGAATCTTTCTCTTTAATTTGCGTATCCGCAGATTACACTGCAATTTTTTTTAATCGACTTATTCAGTGTTGAAGCAAAAAACATCCTTTTGGCTTTGATCGTTTGCAGTGGGCAAACAAATCGATGTATGATGTTCGCCACCTGATAGATAAAAAGTTTAAAGTTCTTTCTTTCAAATGCATTTATCATATTTTTTGTATAAATAAATTTTTAGACTAAAAACTTAACTGAAAGATGTGGTTGAATGTTGCATAGTAACCATTTTTTCATTTAACCCGTTATGTTTTAGCGAAAGAGAATAACAACATTATAAACTTAACATGTCTGAAAAGCAAAGATCTCAAGCTTTAAAAACTTTTTCGAAGTATCTTATTATCGTAATTTTTTCCAAAGTTATAGTTCATTGAATTTTGTGTATCATATATAATATAAAAATACATTTAAGCAGTTATCAAATCATACTACTTGAGAAATAAAAGAGACTTTTGACCCGAGTTGTATTACGACCCTAATTTTTTTATTGCACAAAAAAGAATATTAGCTTTGGAAATATGTCTATTCAGTTATCACGATCCCAATTCTTTGGTAAGAACAGTGGCGGCTCATAGTGGAGACTTTGGAACTAATTGTTCAGTTAGTCAAGATTCGAACCTTTTTTAACCGACCATTTAGCCAAAACGCAAACCCTCTGGACGGATAAGTTTTTTATCGATACCGATAGATGACACTAGGCAGTCTATTCGCTAAAAAACTTTGACTCCTTACAAAGAGAAACATGAGAGCGGCCACCAGCTTGATTTCAATGGCCAGAGTTAGGCGCATTTTCAAGACGCCATCTAACAAAGATGCGTCTTTACTACGTTCGTTAAACGCATTTTTGCGGTGGTAACGATAAAATATGCCTAGTTTGTGCCCGTTTTAATTTCGTACAATGATAGTAAGTTAGAAAAGGACAGATGTCCAATTGCTTTATTCTTGTCTCATTACTGATGAGCAAACTGCGTGACGTAGTCACGAAGCGGGCTAGCGGCGATATTATCGTAAAGCTAGATTATCTCTCATCAATATCGTTTTCCTCGCGGATATTATCACACAATTGTCGAATAAATATTATTATCAATTTCTTTTCATCGTTTTGCTGTTGCATGTAACTATTTGATACTAATTTATTAAATTACTAATTGATACTAAATTAAATTAAATTTTTGTCACAGAGATCTAATAGAGAAGACACAGTCACGCGACTCTAGTGGATGCGATATCTGGAGGATGCCGCGCCGGAGGATTCGGTTTGAGTCTGGTTAAGTCGGCTCGAAGGTAAGCTTCATTGATTTCGTAATTAGAAATCTGTCAAAACTGAACATTTTCTTGCTTCGAGTCGAATTCTTTAAAGCCTTTACTGTTATGTAACTAATTAATATTAAATTAAATTTGCTTTCTGTTGCAAAGACGAGCACTTGACTCTAAGGGGGTGCTGCACCGGAGGATTCGGCTCGGGCCTGGCAGAGTTGGCGCGAAGGTGAGTTTCACTGATTTAAATTTCGATAAATCCGATAAAGCTGGAAATTCTCTTGTTTGAAATCGAGTTCTTTAATGCTTCCATTATCGTGTGTAATACTAAATTACATCTGCTTTCTGTTGCAGAGACGAAGCAGACGACCAGCCGACTCGTAGGGGCTGCTGCGCCGAAGGATCTGACTCGGGCCGAGCGGGGTTAGCTCGAAGGTGAGTTTCATTAATTAACATTTGTAATTAGAAATCCAAGACTGATAATTCTCTTGCTCGACATCGAGATACTTTGAATCGAATCAAAGATCGCTTTAAATCGTAATTATATGCGGGGAGAATTTTTTCTGAGTAGCATCATCACTTGAAAAATTTTGATTTGTTCTGATTAAGAGACTTTGTAACGTCGAGAAAAAGGAAAGTGGAATATTCCAAGTGTGAATGTATTCCGAAAAATTCTTCTAGCATAAAAAATATCGCGATTATTTATTTTTTATTCTTCAAACTTCTTCACTCAAATCGACATCAATGCACGAATCTAATCGGCAAAATGGTATTTTTTTGTTTCAGAAGCGAAAGCAGAATGTGACTACCCTGATCGGCGGTTTGGTGAGTCAAAACAAGAAATATATTGATAATAGAAAGATAAAAAGTCTTTCGATGTAGTGCATGCTTATGAATCAATGCGATTTACTTTGCTGTAGTTGTAGTATACGTATGTGCCGTCCAATGAAAAGCACCCTGCTCGAGACATTTGAAAAATCGCTTTTTCAAAGAATAATTTAGTAATGCATATTCTACATAAATTTGACAAATAAATTTTTAAGTAGTTTTCTCCCAATATACATATATTTACTAATTGATTAACTTAGATTATTGATTGGTCGACGATTTTTGTCGGAGGAAATTTTGATTAAACAAACCCTATCACTATCTAGTAAATGCTTAAAGTATTGAGTATACGTTATGAACATTCAAAATTTTGTAAAATTATTCAGTTTTATTGAATGCGATCTTCCAGATGTCTCGAGCAGTACGACAACGCGCAAAGAGATTGCGCCACAGAAAATGCGCAATCATATCATCCGCGTCATAGATCTTCCACGTCGTTAATAGGTCATTAATTTTCTCAATTTTCTATCGCGTGATCTTGAATCGCGATTGCATTTCATAAAGTAGAGTTTATGTTTCGTTATTAAGTAAAATTTGATATCGTGCGGTACCTGTGCAAAGCGATCTAATGTGATTATATAAACTGCTCGCAAAATTAATTTCACGATCGCCGGAAAATTTATAGGTTTCAATTTTTCACTTAGAATTTCCTAACGCGGGACACAATAAACACAATGCTAGTGAGTGTTGATCTTTCGCGAAAAACGCGATGTACACAAGTCAGACATGCGAGCAGTTGTTTGTTTACTTACGCGGCGCGCGACAAGTTCCATTGAACGAAGACAGACGTCTCACGCGGTAATATTTTTTTACGTGAATTTTGAATAGAACCTTTATCTCTATTGTCACAATTTTCATAGTTTTTGACTTTTCATTCACGCTCGCGTTCGCAATTATTAATTTGATAGGTTTACGAATTTCACTGGATCGCATTTGCGGAAGAATCGCGAGCGAACTTTGCAGAAATATTGCGGTGTTGTTATCCGCAAAAGCATTGCGGAATTGTCTTCGCAAAAGTATTGCGAAGCTGTTATCCGCAAAAATATTGCGGAATTCGCAAAAGTATTGCGGAGCTGTTATCCGTAAAAATATTGCAGAGCTGTATTGCAGTCTACTACATTGCCATCGAAACGTTACATTAGGGATATTCCGTGTCGTACGTGAGAATTTCGCACATATTATTTCGTCCATGCATGGAAAGATTTCGCGAGATCGATCCTCGATTCACGTCGCATGTTATCTTCGCTCGCGGATTCCGTTTTCTTCGTAAGCGATTCGCGTCGCGCGTGTATCAAAGCGATACACTATAGCTCATTGCTGAATTCGTCGCACATACTCGTCGTTTTTCCGAAAGGCCGATATTTCCTCGAAGACGCAGTTCGTGATATTTCATACACAATTCGCAATTCGGAGTGTATCCCCCAAGAGAGACGTTTTTGTCTCAATGTTTTTTCGTGAAACCTCCGTTAGATTATCGCGTTCGGGAGTGAATTACAGGCGACGTGGGACGCGAGAACCATTGCAGTGTCAGATGCAACGACAGGATGACTGGTGGACCCTGGACACCGTGGGACGACGCGCAATGGTGAGCGCTCAATTTAGACGCTCATATAGTAGACACAAAGCGTCATTTTACGTAGATTGCATGCACGTAGACGTAAATCGCATTGAGTCCGACGGGAAGTAAAGTAAGAATTGGAATTTGCAATTCGTCGGAGTTACGTAAGAATGATCCAACCAAAGAATTTAGCTCTGAGATTTTTGCAATAGTTCAACGAACCAAGCATTTTCATTTCTTTAAAAGTACTGACTAGCTCAATCCTTAGAAAAATGTGCAAAAAAACGCGACTAGTCAAAAATAAAAAAACTTTTTTAATTTATTTCAAGCATCTATAAGGCTTGAATTGTTTTGTTTGGATTAAAAAGATGTGAATGGAGTATCCATTGATAAAAGCTTATAATTTTTTTAATTGGATCATTCTTGCATAACAATGGCCAACTGAAATTTCGACTCGGCTTCCTTCTTGTCGGATTATTTCTTGATGATACATTAAATTGATATATTTCAACATATCATATTTATATGCTCCGTATATGTTATTATGCTTTTTATATTTTTTATATATATCCTATATATACTCTATATATATTATTTGATTAACATACTTTATAACTTCGTCTTTATTCGTCTTTATGTCGTATTATATACGACATACTATATCTTCGGAGATTTTTTATGCATACGCATTTGTTGTTAAGAAGAAGACAAATTAAATTTCGACAAATTAAAGACAATAAATTAAATTATTAAGCCGAAACTCGAACCGAAATGTTTCGATTTTCCGTTAAATTATTAAGCCGAGATTCGAATCCGAGTGTTTTGAGATTCCGCTAAACCATTAAGCCGAGATTCAAATGCAGTGTTGTGTTTTTGTTAAATTATTAAACCGAGATTCGAACCGGTATGTTTCGTGTTTCC